AGGTTGCTACCTGTGTTCTCCTTTAGGATTTGGATGGACTCCTGTCTCACGTTTAGGTCTTTCAACCATTTGGAGTCTATTCTTGTGTGTGGTGTAAGGAAATGGTCCAGTTTCATTCTTCTGCATGTGGCTGTCCAATTTTCCCAACACCATTTGTTGAAGAGACTGTCTTTTTGCCATTGGACATTCTTTCCTGCTTTGTCAAAAATAAGTTGACCATAGAGTTGAGGGTCCATTTCTGGGCTCTCGATTCTGTTCCATTGATCTATGCGTCTGTTTTTGTGCCAGTACCATACTGTCTTGATGATGACAGCTTTGTAATAGAGCTGGAAGTCCGGAATTGTGATGCCGCCAGCTTTGCTTTTCTTTTTCAGTATTCCTCTGGCTATTCGGGGTCTCTTCTGGTTCCATACAAATTTTAGGATTATTAATGGAACAAATATTTTAACAAAAATGAGAAATTGGCACAACCACACCTAAATTAAAATAAATTCAAATATGACAATGTATGCATGCTTATATGTGGATTATTTAAAGATACAATCAGGTAGGGGCACCAGGCTGGCTCAGTTGGTGGAGCATGCAACTCTTGATAATAAGAGCTCAGTTGTGAGTTTGAGCCCCATGTTGGGTATAGAGATTACTTACAAATAAAGTCTTAAGAAAAAAAAAGATATGACCAGGTAGCTGTGACAATATAGCATGATGGTAAACACCAAGTTTCTTGTAACCTGGCCATTGCAATATTTAAATGAGTCATATAGCCTCATTTTAATTAAATTCTTCTTCTCTGTAAATCATATATACCTGTAAATATTAAATAATTTACAATAGATAAAGCATGAGTAAGAGTGACTAAATGAGCACTATATAAAGAAATACATTAAACCTGGGAAATCATTAATTAAAGAAAACGTGTATTTGAAAGAAATTCTCAGGGAAAAGTAGTAGCAAGGGGAGAATGTTGAATTTATTTTCCACGAACAATCAGCCCACAGCTCATGTTTTCAATGCAGAGTCCTCTCTTTGTGAAAGTGAACACTGAGCCCTGGAGAATGACAGAATGGCTTTAATGGATGTGAAATTTGCCGTGATCTTCCTATTCCTGATAGTTGTTGGAGCTCTGGGGAACTTCTTGCTCTTCTGTCGTTACACTTCATCTCTTGACTTAAGGGGATACCCGTCGAAGTCCACAGATCTGATTCTCAGGCACTTGACTTTAACCAACTCCTTGGTCATTCTCTCCAGAGGAATCCCGGAGACCATGACAGCTTTTGAGTTGAGATATTTTCTCAATGACTTTGGATGCAAAGTTGTTTTCTTTGTTCACAGAGTGTCCGGGGGTGTGTCCATTGATAGCACGTGCCTACTGAGTGTTTTTCAGGCCATTACTATCAGCCCCTGGAACTCCAGGTGGGCAGTGCTTAAAGGGAAAGCTCCCAGGTACATTGGCCCCTCAAATATCCTCTGCTGGATCATGAACATAATACTAAATATTGTGATTCCTGTGTATATGACTGACAAACGGAACAACAAAAACACTTCAAAAATTATGGACTTCGGATACTGTACTTCTGCACTTCATGACAAAGACACAGACTTACTATATATGGTATTGGTATTCTCCCATGATGTTTTGTGCTTGGGACTCATAACTTGGGTCAGTGAGTTCATGGTTTCCACCCTGTACAGGCATAAGCAGCGGATCCAACACATTTATAGGACCGAAGTGTCCCCCAGATCCTCCGCCGAGATTAGAGCCACCCAAAGCATCCTTGTGCTGGTGACCACATTTGTGTCTTTTTACACCCTCTCCTCCAACATTTACATGTATTTTTCTATTTCTCGCAAGATCAGCTGGTGGCTGATAAACACCTCTGCCCTAATCAATGCATGTTTTCCAACTGCCTGCCCCTTTGTTCTCTTGAGTCAGGACTACTGGGTATCCAGACTCTTCTCTGTGTGCACAGGAAGAAATACACAATTCCCTCGTCTCATCAGAAAAATATAAACTGTTTCCTTTGCACTGCATTCAGCTGCTTAGACACTCATCCTTCAAGGAATCTTCAGCACAATTACAGTCTCATTTTACATCCAGTTTTGAATAATCAGAGATTTCTGCCCCAACAATAGCAAATAATGGCCACTTGTAAATGAAATCCTATGTAATTATTATGTAACTACTCATGTAATTGCATTTTATTAATGGCTGTAGTGGAGAAATTCAGAGTCCAATAAATAAAACAGTCTTGAAATGTAGAGATATTGGAAATGTCTTTGGATGTGTAATTTTTATTTTTAAAGATTTTATTTATTTATTTGACAGAGGGAGACACAGTGAGAGAGGGAACACAAGCAGCGGGGAGTGGGAGAGGGAGAAGCTGATCCAGTGTAGAATTCAGTGTAGAGGGCTCTGGGTTCTCTATTGGGATGCAAGTGGCCTGAGGTAAAGCTGGGGGAAAATTAGGTTTTAGTTGTGAAGGACAATGACGACCAGGTTGTGCAAATTGTGTCTTACATCCTTAGAGAATGGTAGGCATTTGAAATAAGAAAACACGTGTATGGAGAAAGATGAGCATTTAAAAAATAATTTTTTTAAAAGATTTTATTTATTTATTTGAGAGAGAGAGAGAGAGAATGAGAGACAGAGAGCACGAGAGGGAAGAAGGTCAGAGGGAGAAGCAGACGCCCCGCCGAGCAGGGAGCCCGATGCGGGACTCGATCCCAGGACTCCGGGATTATGGCCTGAGCCGAAGGCAGTCGCCCAACCAACTGAGCCACCCAGGCGCCCTAAAAAATAATTTTAATTGAACATTGGAATTGTGAACTTCAGGGGACGAAAGGAGAATCTTGCAGGAGGATATGTTAGCTGGTGTTTTGAAAGGATAGAGGTGGAAAGCAAACATTACATAGACGTTTTATGTCTGTGATTAAAAATGAATCAATTTTCAGGGTCTGTAGAAGGTAGATTGTTCTGGGTTAGTTCCTGGGGCCTCACTGGCTGGTTGCTAAGAAGCAGATTTCAGGGTGGGTGTCTGCATTTCCAATTTGAGGAGACAAGCATCTGAAGAAAGTCTTCATCAAGCTTGGATTAGTAGAGGAGTAGTAATTTGGAGACCAGAGACATGAATCTATTAATCTGTTTTGTTTAATGAGTTTTCCTGATTTTGAAATCACCCACCAGAGCAAATGGACACATTCGAAAGAAACAGTAGATATCAACTCACACATAATTTAATGTAAATATCTGTGAATAAATTAAATTATAAGGGGTTGCAACTTTATTATTTTTTTAAAGATTTTATTTATTTATTTGACAGAGAGCACAAGCAGAGGGAGAGGGAGAAGCAGACTCCTTGCTGAGCAGAGAGCCCGACGAGGGACTTGATCCCAGAACCCTGGGATCATGACCTGAGTAGAAGGCAGATGCTTAACCGACTGAGCCACCCAGGTGCTGGGGTTGCAACTTTAATGTAAATATTTTACTTTGGAATCAGTTTAAATTTGCAGGAAAATAGCAAAGAACATACAGAGAACTCCCATTTTCTGCTCAGCCTGTTTCCCCTGTTGTTAACATCTTACCTTACCATTCATTGTACATTCCGGAAAACGAAGAAACCAACACTGGCACCACGGTAGAAACTGAATTGTAGACTTTATTCTTATTTCATCAGTTTTAACACAAATGTCTTTTTTTTTTCTTCCAGGATCCAATCCAGAATACCACATTACATGTAGCCAACATGTGTCTCCCACTTCCTCTTTCCTCTGTCAGATTCTGTCCGATTCTCAGTCTCCCAGGTTTTTATGAACTTGAAAGGTGTGTGGGGGACTGGCCAGCTACTTTCTAGAATACCTCTGAAATTGGGTTTGTCTGATGTTTTTGTCTGATTAGACAGTGTTTATAGATTTTTATAAAAACATGTCTCATCTAATTACATCATTATCACATCAGGGAATTCATGCAATTAACCATTACCACGGGCGGTGTTAATCTCTGTCACTTGTTTATCAAGTGTTGGTAGTGTTTTCTAGTTTCTCCGCTGTAAAATTGCTATCTGCCCATTCCCATTCTGTATTGATTGGAAAGGAGTCAATACGTTTAGCCCGTGAATTAATCTCCACCTCTTAGAAAGAGTAGTACCTGGGGCACCTGGGTGGCGCGGTGGGTGAAACATTTGACTCTTTTTTTTTTTTTTTAAAGATTTTATTTATTTATTTGTGAGAGAGAGAATGAGAGACAGAGAGCATGAGAGGGAAGAGGGTCAGAGGGAGAAGCAGACCCCCTGCTGAGCAGGGAGCCCGATGTGGGACTCAATCCCAGGACTCCAGGATCATGACCTGAGCCGAAGGCAGTCGCTTAACCAACTGAGCCACCCAGGCACCCAACATTCGACTCTTAATTTCTGCTCAGGTCTGATCTCAGGGTTGTGGGATTGAGCCCTGCGTTGGGCTCAGCACTTGGCAGGGGGTCTCCTTGAGTTTCTCTCCCTCTGCGCCTCCCCCCTGCTCACTTTCTTTCTAAAATGGGTAGATAAATTTTTTTTTCAAGATAAATCTTGAAAAAAAAAAAGTATCTGTGTATACTATTTAGTATTCTTCTGTAAGAAATATTTGTTTCTCCTGCCTCATTGATTCGTTCCATTCTTATACATATCATTGAGATATAAGGTACATTGAGAAAACAAATTAATGTTCCCCTTTGCCCTATTGAATTTACTTTGTGGGACGAACCATGAGAGACGATGGACTCTGAAAAAGAAACCGAGGGTTCTAGAGGGGCGGGGGGTGGGGGGATGGGTTAGCCTGGTGATGGGTATTAAGGAGGGCACATTCTTTTTTTTTTTTTTTTTTTTAATTTTTTTTATTGTTATGTTAATCCCCGTATATTACATCATTAGTTTTTGATGCAGTGTTCCATGATTCATTGTTTGTTCATAACACCCAGTGCTCCATGCAGAACGTGCCCTCCTCAATACCCATCACCAGGCTAACCCATCCCCCCAACCCCCTACCCTCTAGAACCCTCAGTTTGTTTTTCAGAGTCCATCATCTCTCATGGTTCGTCTCCCCCTCTGACATACTCCCCTTTTCTTCCTCTCCTGTTATCTTCTTCTTTTCCTTTTTTCTTAAAATATGTTGCGTTATTTGTTTCAGAAGTACAGATCTGTGATTCAACAGTCTTGCACAATTCACAGCGCTCACCGTAGCACATACCCTCCCCAATGTCTATCACCCAGCCACCCCATCCCTCCCACCCCCAACCACTCCAGTAACACTCAGTTTGTTTCCTGAAAACTTTCAATGCTGCCGTTTTACAATCATAGATCTAGCCATAAGT